GGCGGGGGTTAAGATCAAGAGAGAGAGCAAAGATTACCTGTCCTATTCTGCAAAGAAATCGGATAGAAGGAGGAGGGATCCAATGTGTGTGTGTGTTGGGAGTCTACTGCAGTTCTGTTGGTATCCAGGATCAGCCTTTCACTGCTGGCTCTAAAGCCAGGCAAGTTATACTGTTTTGGGCCCATGGCATAAAATGGGTTCTTTTCAAGAAACAAAAGATTACAACAGAAGATAACAGAATACTTGAGAATTGGGCAGCTGATCAAGAGAAAGTTACAGAACTGAATAAAGAGCACCAGGGAAGGACAACAGGAAGGGAAGTTCTTGACTGAATTATAATTCAGGATTACAAACTGGGGAATGAAGCTGAGTCATACATTCGGTGGGAGTTTTAGGGAGAATGTGAAGATCTGAATGTTTCCAGAATGTCTCAGGGCACTTAACGTTCAAATTATGTGAATGGTCAGTGGTTGCATATCATGTAAAAGACAATACAGGAAGAGGGATCTTTGTCTTCCAGCCTGGTGTAGCATAATTGCTGTCCTGTTGGCACGCCTGGATTTCTCCCAGAAAGGCTTCCTTGGAAGCATTTGCTGTGGTTATCCCAAGATCCTCTGCTCTGTTCATGGCTGCAAGGTTCTCATGGCAGTCGCTTCCCATGTTCTTTGTGTGCCTTGAAGGACTTGCTCATGATATTACATGTGCAGTACATATGGCCAGGCTGGGAGGGTGTGCAGATGAAAAGGGTGTTAGCATGAGCCTCCTTGTGCTACTTGAAGGACAGTACCCCAGACAAGCTAGGTCCAAAGATGGCACAGGGACCTAGGGCAAGCCTAGCCCTCTCTCTGTGCAAGACCAACAAGCCCAGACATGTCCCTCAGACCATCACTCTGACTCCTTCAGCCATCAAGCTCCAATACAGACAGCACGTAGCTGCCCTTGTATTAGGACAATGGCTTGATTTCAGCATCTCAAAAGGCAACTGCGTATCTGAATTCCAGTATTCCAGAACCTGCATTCCTGTATTGTGTTTCACACCTGCACCTCTGGACTTCGTCCCGATACTGGGACTATCCTGAACATGGTCTATTGTTTCCATTGAGAGCCAGTTTGGTGTCGTGGTTAAGTGCGCGGACTCTAATCTGGGAGAACCGGGTTTGACTCCCCACTCCTCCACTTGAACCTGGCTGGATGACCTTGGGCAAGCCATAGTTCTGATAAGAGCTGTTCTTGAAAAAGAGCAGTTTCTGTCAAGAGTTCTCTCAGCCCCACCTACCTCACAGGGTGTCTGTTGTGGGGAGGGGGAGGGGAAGGAGTTTGTAAGCCGCTCTGAGACACCTTTGGGTAGTGAAGGGCGGGGTATAAATCCAATCTCTTCTTCTTCATTGTTCCTGTGATAGCCCAGCCATTAACAGAGCCAAGACTGTACAATTGCCCCATACCTTGCTAACATAGGTATCCCTCCCCAAACCAGGACTTTCTTTGCCCAATACCCCTTCTGAGCCATTACCAACTATCCCGGCCCATTCAGGACTGTTCCCCTATTGTGCCCCATGACCCTGAAGGCACAATTCTTCTATAATTAGGCTCCCGACACAGCCATCTTTAGTTCAGTCTCCTGGGACACCTACCGGTCGGATCCCCCATCTCTCTCATGGGTCTTCACGGACATGCTTGCTGGCCAAGCCATCTGCTCTTCACCACAGACTGTCCTTTGTGGTAGCTTTTACCCCCAATGCTTCGCCCTCTTTTGTCTCTGATCTCTTAAGATCGCTTCAGCTCTTTATTTCCTAGCTCGTGTGTATGTGTGTGATATTTTTATTGAATTCGTTGACTGTATTAGGGTTATTTTCTTAATAAATTTCATAAAAGGTATTTCCTGTCTGTCGTCTGTGCTGCTCCCAGTGGGTCCTGACTCTGGTATAGCTGGAGGTCAGTCCCTAGCTTGCGGACCCACTGAAAGGTCTCTCAGCTAAACTCTCCTATAACACAGAGATCCGGTGTTGCAGCTAACAGGGGGGAGGGGAAGCTGACAACATAACCATACCTGCCTTCCCACAAAAACACCCCCTTCCCACATACCCTAAAACTTCTGTGCTGAGGGTTGGGGAATCCTCAAACAAATTCACGGTGGATGAAACCCAAAGTTAAATCTCTCCCTGGCTCTTTCATAAGCATAAGCTCATCTCAGAGCTCTTGACTCTCACACAAGAATAAGAGGAAGCAATTTCTGATTAACCACCTCACTGCCAGGCTTGCTGTCATGGTGCATTTTGTTTACCATCACCTGAGAGGCACATGGGGGGAAGGGGTGAGAAGGCAAAGAAGATCTGCTTACATAATATTCTTCCTCTTGTGTATCAAAGGGTCCAGTTTTGCCTTTCCTAAGCAAACACGGACATGGATGATACCACCACCCCCGCGCTGTTTTAATCACTTTGCAGCAGACTTCTCAGTAGAAAATATGAAGGATTTCATAACACACTGAGGACCATCTTTACTTATCATCTTTATTCAAGTATTTCACAGCAGTTATATTACAAATTACAGTAAAATGTTCAAAATACCCAGAAATTCAAAAAAGAATTAAATAATTTACTTAACTAATGCAAAAATGAAATCGAGATGCAAAAGAAAAGAAAAGAAAAGAAAAGACAAAGAAATCAAGTTAAACACAATTCTGAATACAACTTATAGAATCCAAAATTTACCATAGCTGATGACGTAAGCTTACTTAATCCAAAAGTAGATAGACACAAAAGAATGAAACCAAAAACGAGACATCCCCATTGCCTAAGTAAACCAATGTACAATATAGAAGAGAAGCAGGTACAAGCTCAAATTCAAGCTCATGTTGAATTTACACACAAAAATAAAAGGTGTGGGGAGGCAAAGGAAGGAGGGAGAGAAAAGATTATCAGCTACAGGACCTGCCATTCAAAATATCAAAGCCAGAACTCACCCTCCAACTTAAAGAATGGGAAGACAAATTATTAGCAAAAACAAAAACAAATCAATAATCCTATAATAAATACATTGGCATATGAGAAAACTCAAGTAACAATACAGAGGACACAAAACATAAATTAATCACAGGTGAAATTCAAGCTTGCAAACACAATTAACTCCACAGCCAAGTTCATCCTAAGAGCAGTTCCATCATTAGCCCCACAGCAATTTAACCTCCATCTGGCCCTAGACAGAAGGCCTTGTCCAGGAGTTCATTGGTAATATTCATAACAAGAAACAGGAATTGATTTGTACAAATTATTGCCAGTTTTATGTGGCAAAAACAATAATAACAAAAATTACAAATAGTAAACAGCTTTGACAACATGGAGAGATTAACAGGTTTTACCCTACAACCACTAAGCTATTAGTAAAGAAAAGTTATACATGTATTAGTGTGGTTTTGGAGCCAAAAGGGTGAATATATAATTTTAATCATGTTGCCCACTAATACATTTATAATAAGCTAATTCTTCCGAAAGACCTAAAACATTTAGAGGCTGTTCCTTACTTTATCAACATTCAAAAACTACTAAAGATTGTAATTTTTTTTTTAATAACAGACCAGTCGGAAGCATTTTTAATGCTGGACACAAATTCAAGATACTCTTCAAATTATCTGATTACTATATTTAAATTATTTCAGCTTGTACAAATTTAGCAACCTGTTAGAAAATGTATGCAGTTTTTTCTTTTCACAAGTGCTGCTGCTACTTGAACAAAGGAAATCTCTGAACTACAATATTTTTAAAAAGGCTGCAAGAACCTGAGACTTGCAAAAAATCGTTTTACCAGAAACTTGCTACAAAAAATCTGCTACATTTTTTTTAATTTCTTCAAATCTTAAAGAGTTTTGTAACAATTTCCATCAAAATACAAAAATGCTAATGGATTTGACAGCAAAATATCCTAAACAGCGTTTGATGGCAATAAATACTAACAGAAAAAAATGGAAAAAGTCCCCCACAATCAAATTTCTAAAAAGGAACAAAGTACTAGTTTAAAATGTTATTTGTTTTAATCGCACTTTCCCACCTAAAAATATAGCATTTCTACAGGAATCGTGTTTTGAACACGGTGACTAAATGCATACTAAGATTTAAGCAGGTGGCATCTGGGAATGGGTGGGCCGGGGGAAGGTTTGGCTGGAATCAGGAGGCTCGGATGTCAACATCTCGAATGAAAAGAGAGCGCTTTGGATCACTGCAGCAGCTGCAGCCCAAGGCCGGCATCTGATTTTTAGCAGTGGCATACTACTAACAAGCAACACACCTGGGTGACATGTACCTTGAACAGCAGTAGAGCGATTACAGCTTTCTGTAAACACTGTTGGTAACGAAAATACAAAAAGCTGAGGTAGCTGAGTGTCTCTGCAGTAGTCCAAACACCGTTTTTGCTTGATTTACAACAAAGTGTACTGAGAGTTGCATATTTTTGGAAAGACACTCCTGCAGTTTCAGGTAACTGTTATCAATGAATTCTCTCTGTTGCGCAACAGTGAACGCCAGGTGCTCACCAGGCCACCTCTGCCTTCTTCAGCGGGGGGGGGGGGGGAGAGCTGAGAGAAATCTGTCCGGGGGACTGCTGAATGGCTGGGCCTGCCACAGATGTCCTGCTGCCTAGAGTGTGCCACCTCTTACTCCCCCCCCCCAAAAAAAAACAGAGCTTGAGAACTATTGCCACATCATTAAGCTCCAGAGAACTACAACCCTCACAGGCTAATTCAGTGGTCCAAAAAAACAGCCAACAACCAAAGAACGGTGTGACTCAGTTATTTTCTCATTAATACTGTTTCAATACGGATTGAACCGAACATGAGCCTGGTCTAATTCATGCTTTGAAGGGATTGCAGAACAAACCATCTCTTCTGCCTATGGCCACCCAGCTAGTCTTAGCTTCCAACATAATGAAGGTATAGAAAAAAATCTTAAGAAATGATGGAACATGTTTTTTAAAAAATAACTACAGCCCCCTTAAATACCAACTGCAAACTTTTCACCAGTAATTTGTTGTAAAAAAACAAATACACCTGTGAAACAAATGCATTTTTTACTACTCTGAGATAACCTGTGGTTATTTCCATAATTTAATCTTCCGCAGAGCAACATCAACATGTTAAAACATAATACTGGCTGCTGTTCGACAGTGTGGGAACCTGAAGCTGTTCTTTGGGAACACAGGCTTTTGGGAAAAAAAACTTTCTAACTCTGCCATTGGCTACAATCCCAACCATTTTAATAGTCTTCTCCTCTCCCTCCTCTCTTCCTCCTCTGACTAAAAAGGCACATTGAAGGCAACTCTAGAGAGCCTCATCTTCACATTATTGTATACCAAGTTAATAATTAATTGTTACCACAATTCTTCACTGCCAGCTGTAAAAACAGGCTTCAGTCCATTACCTCGGAGAATTTAAAAAAAAAAGGGAGGGGGGGAGACGACTGAAAGTAAAATTTTAAAAGTTGCCCACTTCAAAACAATCAGTTTAGATCAGCTCTATCCAGTTTGTGTGTGGTGGTTTTTGTTTTGTTTTCTCCTCAGCCTGCTCCACTCTGCCTGAAGCTTCTCACAAAATAATGCATGTAGACAGCAGAAATGAGAGCAGTTTCTGTAGCACCAAAAAAAAAATATCTCCAAGTTGTGGCATTGTATTCTTTTATCTATATCAAGATACAAATATTTATGAAGTTCCGTTTGGTTCTTGTAGGCTGGCTGGTTTCAGGTACCTGAGACAATAGCACCAAATTCATAACAGAAAGTGAGACAGAGAGAGCAAGCATGCGAAGACCAAGGGCTCTGCACATACTTGGTGCAACTGGAAACCAAATGGCTCAGAAGACTGCTCTCTCACGAGCAGCTTACGAAGAGATAAACCTCTCACACCTTGAAGGGTTCACAGGAATGTTTCAAATGTACGAACAGTTCTTTCCATCTCCTGAAAGCAAAAGGCAAGAATTTTAGCTACTCACAGCTACTCGGGTACAGGCGTATTTGGCAGCGGAAGGAAAACACCCAAGCAAAAATTTCCCCTAGAGCTCTCACAAGCACATGGACTTAAAAGAACTTCCCAAAGTTTGCAGGATATTATCGCAAATCGAATGATCACAGTTCAAACTATAACCCAATTAAAGTTTGGTTATACAAACCTGGTTTAGTCCCCAGTTAAACCAGTAGGAATAAATATGGGCCTGTCTTAAATCGAGCATTATTGATTTTCACTAGTTTCCCAATCAGGCCATAACACCAAAAAGGGGGAATATGTCTAATCTAATGGAAAAAACAAAATTTCTTACAAAAACATGTCGTTTCCAAATAACGGCCAATCCAATTTCATTTGATGATGATTGATATTGTGTTTTGTTCTTAAGAAGAACAGGGGAAGAAGCTTAAGTTTTTCAGAGTTTGTTACATAGCACAGCTACTCACAAATGTACAGCAATCATTTTTTGACATCAAACACACACAATTCCTCTTCCTCCTCTGTGTGCCTGAACAAGAAATTATGGACCTCAGTAGTTTTGCTACCCGAGAACCACTGGCAAGGTCAGGAACCAAAAGGCATGATACTTCTCAAACCGGTTCTACTCACCAGCAGGTAATATCACTATCAAAAATAAACACTGATGAAATACTCAGCTGAAGCAGCTGTGTAAACTTACCTCTACAAGCTGTGACTTGTCATAATCCTTACGATGCCGGTAGATACACTGATTGAGAAGCGAGTACAGCCTTTCAAGCTGAGCGACAGTCAGGTTGTCACTTTTCTTAACCAGCAAATCAAGCAAGCTCTATCAAGGAACAGATCACACCGGGATGAAGGTTTTAAAAAGCTCTTGCTCGCAAAACCTGAGTCATCATTTGTTCCAAATACAGAAGTCAAATTACTATTAAAGCCTCCATCAGGCGTCACTGCAGTGCTAAATGCGGGGCCACACAGAGAGCCACAACGGAACAGCAGCAGCATGCAAACGGTTTAGTATTTGGTGACCTTTGTGCACATTAATATTCAACTGAGGTTCTTTTGTTATTTCCGTATGTAGAAGGTAAAGAACATTTTAACCAATTATATAAAACCAGTACCTGGGGACCAGAAATTAAGTTGGGGGTGAAGTATCCTTTTGCAGTGGCTCCCTATGGGCAGCCTTATTTTTTGCTTTAAAATACTCCTTCCTAGCAACAGTGACATCACAAAGCCAGTCAGATTTGGCTATATGACATCACTGAGTAAATGGAGCTGGGTTCCAGTTGGGTGGCACTGCAGCTGTGTTAAACTATGCTCTCAGAAGAGTCATTTTAGTTCTTATTTTTAGTGGGTGTTTTTATCAAGTTTTTAATTGGATTTACCAGGTTTTAATTGAATTAATTGGATCTTCCCTTTTCTGTTTGGCTTTATAGTTTGTAGTCTGTAGTTTGAAGCATGTTTGTAGGTTGGGAAGTGGCTGAGTGTGTATCTCTCAAGAGCTCAGCTGAACTGATGCTCAGGGCTGGCTTAGTATAACCAATCATTTGTTTTCACTCCCCCCCCTTCCCCCCCTGTTCTATGGGGTAGTCTTGGTGTTGTTGTTCGCTTGCTTTCTGTTTTAATAGTTTGAAACCAAAACAATACTGAGCCTCTGCTGCTACTGTCATTGGTTTATTTTATTTTCTCCTGTGAAAGGGGATTTGAACAGATGAGTAAATGAAGCCAGTTCTGTGCAAGGTCAGTGTCCTTACTCTGAATTAGCTTCACTTACCCTCTACTGGTGTCATAACACAGCCAAATGTGATTGGCTGTGTGATAATGTCACTATCACTATGAAGAGTTGTTTTCAAATAAAGGAATGATGACAAAGCAGTAGCGAGGTGTAAGACTGCAGGTAGTTTGCTCCCAAGAGTCTTGATTTAAATTCCAGATAATGGAGCCAGGGTGGGAGATAAACTGAATGTGTGTTCTTGCATGCTCCTGCTATACCAACACCTCTTTACCCTTCTCATGCCTTCTGCATACAAAACTGCCAAAGGAAGAGCACATTTCATTGGGGGGGGGGGAGATAAAATGCTCATTTAAATCCTCCAAACTCAGAGTTCCCACTTAGTCCTACTTTGGAATTCAACTTCTATACGACAAGAGGTTCTCATTTTTATTATTAAGTAACATCAGCATGATTCAGACACCACACACAAACACACACACACACCCTTCCTTGCAAACCAGGACTCAAAATTTTGACTTAATCATGCTTTGTGGTGTTCATTGTGGTTGTGACAAAACCAACCAGCAACACCTCACTCAGCTACTGCCTGTTTCAACTAGGTAGCAGAAGTCCAGGAAGGGCACTTCAGTGACCCCCCCCCTACCCCGGACCACCTCCCTCTACTTCTGTTGCTGCTTCTGCTGCCCCTCTTAATCCTCTCTTCAAGATGCATCTCAGAATATGCAGTATCAGCTTCACTCGAACTTGCTGCAAAGTCCCATTTTAAGGATAAAAACCTTCTTGACTCGTTTCATTGCTTTTGCTGCCTTTTGCCAGTTACAAATCAGCAAATGGACTTCTTCAAAACAATTTATTATGAAGAAAATAATTTGTTCCAGCATGTTCCTATTAAAATTTGTTTCAGCAATGTGAACAAGAAGATCAGTTAAGAAGTTTGCATACAAAGTTTGACATACTTGTCAACCATCTAGATTGAAATGCATCTGATCTCAATATTCTTAACATATTAAGCTCACCGTGTAACGGTTTCAATTCAGTACTTTTATTTTTAAAAAAATTACTCTCCCTGGTGCTTCATTATTCTCTTCTGCCCTAACCAGAGACGCATGGTTCTCTCCTCAACTGTTTCTCATGCTTCTCCCTCCACCAAGATTCTAAACAGGTCTCTGTAAATGGCTCCAAGTCTCCCATTTAGCTAACCCTATGCCATCCAAATATACAAACTGAAAGGTTAGAACACGCATTTCAACTCTCTAGAGCACATCTAAAACAGTTTGCTTAAGTAATTTTTCACAGTTAACAACCTAAGACTTGGAATCATAGAGTTGGAAGGGATCTTCAGAGTCATCTAGTCCAACCCCCTGCACAATGCAGGAAATTCACAAATACCTCCCCCCTCCCACACCTCCAGTGACCACTGTTCCACATGCAGAAGATGACCCCCCCCAAAAAAAAAACAACCTCCAGGATCTCCAGCCAAACTGGCCTGGAGAAAAATTGCTTCCTGACCTCAAAGTGGCATTCAGCATTTCCCTGGACATGTAAGAAAGGGCCACAAGGACTAAGCACTGATGCAACCATTCCTGCCCTCCCTCTCATGAGCTGCCTAAGTTCACAGAATCAGCATTGCTGACAGATGGCCATCTTGCTGCAAAAGCGAAAGGCTATCCTTATTGAGCTGTCTCATGAGGGGAAGAGAGTGCACAGTTATTACTTACAAAACTTCTACCCCGCCTTTCTGCCCTCATCAGGGCCACCAAGAGAGCAAACAGATTACAAACATACATAATAAAAATTGATGTTAACAAACAATAAAAGTCAAACAAAAATGTATCATTAAAACAATTAAAGCCAAGCTAAAATACACATGCCACAAAATTACAACAACAATTAAAATATAGGACAAGAGGGAGAGATCACTGAGGGAATGCTGGACAAAACAAAGAAGTCTTCAGCCAATGGCAGAAGACAGCAAAAGAAGGGGACAGGCTAGTCTCTCTGGAAAGAGAGTTCCAAGAGTTTCGGTGCCATAACCAAGAAGGCCCTCTCCCGGGTTGCCACCAGCCTAAGCTCAGAAGGCTGGACTCTGGACGCTTGAAGCAGGGCCTCCAAAGATGACCATAGTGGTGGGCTTGTAAGGAACAGGCATCATTCAGGTATGCTGGTCCCAAAACAAGTAAGGTTATAAAAGTCAACACCAGCACCTTGAATTGTACCCAGAAATAGACTGGGAGCCAGTGCAGATGGGCTGAGACTGGAATCACACAGATTCTGCAACCCACATCCTGGCTGCAGCATTTTGCACCAACTGAAGTTTCTGAACACTTTTCTAGGGCAGCCCCATGTAGAGCACATTGCAGTAATCTAATCCAGATGTTACCAGGGCACAGCTGGCTTAGATGTTACCTAAGAAAGGCCACAGCCGGCTAACCAGCCAAAGCTGTTAAAAGGCACTTTTCGCCTCTGCTGCCAACTGCTTATCCAGCAGGAGACCAAGGTCCAAGAACACACCCAAACTATGGATCTGTTCCTTTCAAGGGGAATGCAACCCATCCAGAAGGGGTGACTCCTTAAATCCCGGGTTAGACTTTCTGTAGTATTGCCATCTTGTCAGGATTAAGCTGCAGTTATCCCAAAAATGCCTCCAGACGCTGATTCAGGGTTTCTACAGCCTCCCTGATATTATATTATCTGCATATTTGTGACAGCCCAGCCCAAATATCTAGGTGACCTCACCAAGCGGTGTTATGTAGATCTTGAAGAGTATAGAGGACAAGATGAAGCTATGTGGGACCCCCACAGGCCAAAGACCTGACCAGCCACCCCCCAGCACTACTTTCCAAAACCTATCCCTCCAGGTAGGACCAGAACCACTGCAAAATGGTACCTCCCGGTCTTATCTCAGAAAGGGAGTCCAAGACGATACCATGACCAATGGTACTGAGAGCTCTGGGAGAGTCAACACAGTTGCACTCTCACTGTCCATCTCTGGCATAGTTCATCCACCAGGATGACCAAAGCTGTTTTCATTCCCACAAGCAGACCTGAAGCCAGATTGGAAAAGAGTCTAACAATCCACTTCAACCAGGAATGCTTGGAGTTGTCCAATGAATACCTGTTCAGTCACCTTCCTCAAGAATGAAAACATGAGACTAGTCAGTGGACGCATCACAACCCATTTCAAGTCTAGGGCAAACCATCCCTTCTCTCAAAGAAGTGTTAACTACCTCTTGGAACCAGTCGAATAACCAGAAAGGATAAAAGTCATACAAGGCAGTGGTAGGCCTCAAACCTCCGAGAGCCCCGTCTACCTCCTCCAACTGAATGAACTGAAAACTATCCCAAACAACTGGACAAGTCGGCACCCTGGCACCATCCAGCCCTGTCACTGCTAATGTATGATCCAAGTCAGTACAGATGCGAGAGATTTTCTCTGCAAAGTGTTGAGCAAACTGGTCACAGAAGGCCTCCGAGCAGTACAATTCCTTCTGCAGGCAAGATCCCCACAGGTCTATTTTTTCCTCACCACCATCACGGACATTGAATATGCTTTAAAACGAACTTTAGCCCATGCCTCATCAGGTTCATCATCCCAAGTCTTCCTTCACTGTCAAAGCCATCTCCCTTGTCTTTTCATCACTGGCAACCCCTCGGTAGATCAAGGGGCTACCTGGGCTCTAACGCCTGCAAGTGATGGTGTCCAATCGCCTGAGTCATTTCCTCATTCCAGGGTCAACCAGGGCATCAGGAGCACCAACCACATCAACAGGAAAATCTCCAAGAGTCATAAGAAAGCAATTTGAACCCATGTGGCTCCAGAGGTGGATCATTTTAATAGAGTGCCCCCCACACACAGAGTCTTGATACTTCTAAACCCAAACAGTAATCTGTTCATGACAAAGGAAATTTCATAAATTCTTCCACCCTCAGATTACATTTATTTTGCCCAGCGGAAGGCACTTTGAGTATATGACAGAAAAGTGATATAGAAGTATCCTGACACAAGTTACAACATGGTTCACTGTTTACAAAATGTCCCTGATTGGGCAGAAAGGAAGGATATACATTTTGTAAATGAATTAAGTTCTCCACATAATGAACATGAACTGTGCTACAAGCCATCTAATTTCCTACAATTCAAAATTACTTCTGAAGGACATGGCATATCCAATTACTCATACCTTTAATCTGTCGTGGTCAACAACTACAGGAGGTACAGGATCCAACTGCTCCTCTGGAACCTGTGCCAAAGGAACTTTACGAGGTTTTTTATTTTTCAGTGTACCTGTAGTTAGGAAGCAAAAATCACAAGTCAGGCCACAAAGGTACCTGTAGCTGTATGAACACTCAAGTTTTATTTTCAAAGTCAGAGGTATTTTCCTACTGGAAAACAGGGCTAACTATTTTTATGCTGTAAACCAGTTTGCAAACACTCACTGGAGAGTAGTAATACACCTCTAGAAAGAGAATGAAATATTCAAAATGTACACAACTTTTCCCACCTTGCCTTTCAGAAAACTACCAAAGACAGCCTCGTTTTCACATTACTCTCCCTTGTACTTGTTAAATTTCCCTTCCAGTCAGTTTTCATGAAAGTCTTCATCAGTGAGAGAAACACCAGTGCTATTGAAGAATAACCACTGTTGACCCACAGGGGGGGATTTTTCCCCTGGCCCTTAGAGTCACTACCCAATTAAATAAAGAGTTTCTTTCTGTTTTTCCAAAGACCACCCTGTTTGATTAACTACTCAGAGACCTTATAACAGAGCCTGAGCTCTCAGGAAGGAGTCAAATTTTATCATGGAACACACCTGTACCCCCTCAGACCTCTGCCTGGAGAATACAGTGGCCACAAGAATGTGGAAATTGGGTATTGCTGATACCTGATGAGCAGTGGGCTGCCCCAGGTTCAAATCTGTTTTAAGCTAAAGACCTTAGCCCACTTCCTCAGCTCTGTGTCCACTGGAACAAGAAGGAAAATACATACTGCATTCACTTTGACAGTGGGATCCAATCAGGACTTTAAAAATGAAAAACTGGTGAATACATACCTTCTTTATCCGATTCCGTTTCTCTAGCCTCAACGTCTACGCCTTGTGATCTCTTTTCATTATTGCTGCATTGTGGTGCCTCCGCACCTGACGGCTTCATCTGTTCGACTTCCGGGCTCCCACCAGAAGCTTCTGCATTCTCTTTTCGGTGATCATCAGTGGCTGCGTTTTGTACGGGAGCAGATGTGTTGGGGTTGCCAGAAGGTGAAGCAGCATTCAGTGAATCACATTTGTCATACTGACATGCTGGAGCGGGTGTGCCCTCAGAGGCCTCTCCGTTCAGACAGTCGCTCTTGAACGAGGACTCCTTTTTCGAGTCCTTCCCTGCGCTCACAGTAACCTTGTTACTCACTAGCAGAGATTCATTTGAACTCTCTTCTGTGGATGGAATATTATTTTCTTTCCCCACCATCCCGTTATTGAGTCTTTGTTCCGTGTGTATATCCATGATGTCGCAAGAGGACTCGTCGTTCGTCATGGAGAGATCCCCCGTCTCCTCTCCGTTCTCCTCCACGCAGTCCGTGCTCCCCTCAAGCTCCCCGTTCTCCAGCAGCTTGCTGTCCTCCCCCTGGTTTTCATCATCAGCAAACTTGGCATCATCCTCATCTTTTTTCAGATTATTGACTTTTCTCTTTTTAATAATGCCTTTCCCCCACTGTGAACGGCGTCTTGATTTCCTCCTTAACCGAACTGAATGGCAAAGAGGCAGGAAATCGCGGTTAGAGGTACAAACATTTGCAGAGCTGGAAAGTGCTTTAATTAAAGGTCAAGCTAAACACAATCTAGTGTGTTTATTCGCAATATACCACCGCCTTTGCCTCATCACAGCTATTTACAAGGATGTTGAGTATTTATCATCCCTCTATACTTCCAGTGCGCGTCAGTGACTTCACCAAAAGAGGAAAAACAGTAGAGTTTTACCCTTAGCATCTAAAGACAAGATTCCTTCAATATTATTTAATGGAAAACCAACTCTCCACTAAGGAGAGCCAGTTTGGTTAAGTGGTAAAGTGCGCGGACTCTAGTCTGGGAGAACCGGGTTTGATTCCCCACTCCTCCACTTGCACCGGCTGGATGACCTTGGGCAAGCCATAGTTCTGATAAGAGCTGTCCTTGGAAAAAGAGCAGTTTCTGTCAGAGCTCTCTCAGCCCCCCACCTGCTTCACAGGGTGTCTGTTGTGGGGAGGGGAAGGGAAAGGAGTTTGTAAGCCGCTCTGAGACTCCTTTGGGTAGTGAAGGGCGGGGTATAAATCCAATCTCCTTCTCCTAAGGATGGAGTTAAGACTCAAGGAAAACATATTTAACTGTCAAGAACAAAGAAATATTAAGTGAACTAATTCCCATCAAACACCCTTAGCCAAAGGAATTGGTGTCTTTAACTAAATTAAAAGAAATAAATTTGTGTCAAGTTCGCATGCAACAAAAAAATTCCATCTGATATTTTAACTCATAGAATACATAAATATATTCATGGTGTACTGTCCTTCCATCTGAACAGAAATCCTAAACTTCACAGCCCCTCGCCCATCTAAACAGAAAACCTGCATCTTCTGGAACAAGCTTTAGAAAGATAACACATTTCATTTTAGGTTTCTTGCTGTGTACTACCAGGAAAACTAGCAAAAAGCCGTAGCACCTTTTCAGCTGTCTACCATTTCCCGTTCAGGCTGCTCCAATATATAACAGCCTTACTGGGCATAAAGAATTCAGCTGGAGGGGGAGGAATGATTTGCAACTAAAAAGGGTTTTCTTCATACCTCAGGCAGGGAATTTATGAGGGAATCGAATAACACAGCCTATTTTTTGATTCAAAAGATTTGAGGACTCTAGTTATGACAGCACAGCTGAAAGTACAGTTCTGAACACCGTCATTTGAAAATTCGATTCAAATCAGCATCACACAATACCAAATCATTATACTCAGGACTGTGGCCAAGGAGCAGAATTGTGTATATTTCCACAGTACTGCAAAATAGCTCTATATCTTAAGAACTGCAGTTTTCATTTACAAAACAAAGCAATTTAGTCTACAGCAGCACACAGATGCTTAAAAGAGACTGTGTACTGCCGGGGGAAATGGGGGGGGCGGCAAGGGGCAAGAGCGCTAACAAGGATTTCCAGCATTTGGTGGTGGAAAGTGCTGTCAGGCCACGGCTGACGTATGGGGACCCCATAGGGTTTTCAAGGCAAGAGACATTTACAGGTAGTTTGCCATTGCCTGCCTCTGTGTTCTAATCCCTGGAGGTCTCCCATCCAAATACTAGTCAGGGCCGACCTCGCTTAGCTTCTGAGATCTGATGAGATCAGGCTAGGCTGCGCTATCTAGATCAGGGTATTTAGGAGACAGGAAATTCAGTACTGTGCCCTTTCAAGCCTGTCAGATTGCATGGCATTCAAGTAAGCCAAATAAAATAACGGCAAAGCTTTTGTATATTTTCAGACATTGTTTACTGGGGACATTTCTATTCCGCTGGCGCTTACTTGGATGATGTTCCAGTGGTAGGTTAAAAGGGCATGTTATATACCCAAGTTTCTTGTGGTGTTTACATGACTGACTAATCAGCTCCCCTGATGTTATTTCTTCCGCTGTTGGTTGCACCTCTTATTCTGTTTTGCAGCACATTGTTTTAAAAAATGTTATGATGACTTAAAAACTAGAGTTATTAGGTATAAAAATGTTAAATAAATACTTTTCATCAAGTATTCCTAAAATGTGGGTTCCTATAATTTTATGCTCTGCGCTCTTTCACAGTATTCAAAGAAGGCCAGAGAAAGGTTCTTGCAATGGAGGAGAACGCGTCTGTTAGATCTGAGGGATCCAACCCTGCCTTGGTTCATTATGCTTCACTCAGTTCCACACCCAGGTACAAGTAGCAGGACATCAACTAATCTTTCGCCTGAAAAGTAACTGAACCCAGCTCCTCAGTAACTGGTTCAAACACACAAAGCAATGTGCTTCTGACACCACCTACTGGGAAGAACAAGGAAGAGTTATATGCTGACTTTCCACAAATAGTGGGAAGGTACATGTTGGACATGTCTAGTGTCCAAAAACGGAACTCCCAAGGATAACATACACAGCACTGAACCAGCGGTGTGAAATCATCCAGGTCTCTGCTACATGCAATCAAAACACAAACTACAGATATGTCAACACGACCCACCCCTCACCGATCATCCACACTGGTAAAGGCCCACAAAGCAAAGTTATAACACAGACAATGCCTAAAGTACTGTTCTGTTTCCTTGGCTATCATGTTAGCTCCCACCAAAACATAGCTTGATGTCCAATTTTTTTGTTTTTCTCTAACCTAAAGCCACATAACACACAATACCAGTGCTTTACCAAGGGATTCATTGACGAGTTTTGCCCTCAGGGGATCAAATTTGGATATCTAAAAGTTGCCCCCTCCCAGGCTTCATTGGTTCATTGGTGTTATACTAGCTGCGCACCTATGACAAACAAATGAAACTACGGATGGCATCAAGTCAATTGGGGTTGAGCTGATAAAACTCTCCAGCTTCCAATGACACAGTGGAAATTTGAATTATCGTTTTTGGGCTTCACATGGATGGCATTCAGTATGACATCCAAACAGAACATTACAAGCATCTCACCGAACACAGTCCAGTCTCCTGCCAATGTGTCTACTTTATTACCTAGTTATTATGATGGCACACTTATTTTGAATCGTGCCTGCGGTGGCTCAAGTGGTTAAGACGCTGAACTGCAGGCTGTGGAAGGTCAGTAGTTCAGCAGTTCGAGACCCGGGTGCCGCATGATGGAGTGAGCTCCCATCTCTAGTTCCAGCTCCTGTCAATCTAGCAGTTCGAAAGCCCGAACACAGTCCAGTCTCCTGCCAATGTGCCTACTTTATTACCTAGTTATTAAGATGGCACACTTATTTTGTTTGTTTAGAAAATGTGTAATGACCATAGAAACGTCTTCGGACAGCGCTGGCTCTTCGGCTTTGAAACGGAGATGAGCACTAGAGTCGGAGCTCATGCAACCCTAGAGTCGGATTCGACTGGCTTTCGAGCAAGGGAACCTTTACCTTTACCTTTATCGTGCCTTTAGCCATAGATTACTAGAGAAGCCAACAAGATAATATACCACAAATACAAATATCATAAAAACAAATTTTCCAAAGCTTAACAACACAGGAAAGGGGACAAACCAAACATTCTTAACAAATATAGCCAGCAAAATAGGAAAAAAAATACAACATGGATGGGGGGGAGAGAAACATAAGTCAAACGCATGCCTGGGCAAATAAGAATTTAATCTGCATCCAGAAGGGACAAGCCCGTAGCCAGGATTTTTTTTTTTGGGGGGGGCGGCATTTAAATTGGGGGGGGGCATAATTTTTTTAAGAACTCTTTTCTGGGAGTAAGTACCAGTGAATAAAAGTGGACTTACTTCCAAGTAGAAACACAAGTGGGGAAGTGTGAGGTCAAAGGAGGGAGTGGACTGAACAGAACCCCCCCCCCCCAGTTTATGGAAAGTGAAACCTGTTTTTCTCTAAGCCGCTGCCTTGAACTCCACAAGAGGGGGGGGAAGTATGAGGAAGGAGCGGAGGAGGAAGAAGCGGTGCTCTGATCCCCTGGGCTGCAGCCTGCAGCTGCCACTGCTTCTGCTGCCGTTTTGGGCACAGAGCACTGCAGTGCTGAGGGACAGCGGGTGCTGCTGTGGCAGGGTGCTTCGTGCTCTGTGGGGCAGGTGGGTGGTGCTTGTCCCCACCAGAGGCCTCTGGGTGAACCCGGCCCCTTCCCCCACCACCAGGATTGACTTAACACCACCACAAAGCAGAGGCATGGTCAAGGTAGCCAGGGAAGCGGAAGTGGGGAGAGAGCGCCCTCTTGCCACTGGGCCGGTGAGCAGTTTGAATTTGCGGCGCCACCCCCACTTTGCTCCACACAGAAACTGGAGCCAAAGGGGCCTTCCCTGCAGCTCTCTTCAGCCTGGGGAGCGGCATGCCTGATGGCACCTTCGGGCAGCCGTGTCTCGGATCCTGGCCTCAGAATCCTCTGTGGGATCAGCATTTAAAGGGGGCATTGATGTAAGTCAGGGCCCCCGCCTCCAAATGCCCCACCGTAGCCATGGGCCTGAGAAGGAAGACCAAGTTCCAGGAGAGCAAAAATATTACATAAATAAGGACCTATGACAGAAAAAGGTCTCACGCTAATTATCATCTATCTCAGTTCTGAGTACTGGTGTATACAAAGAAAAGCCATGACAAATGACTGATTCTTGACCAGGCACATATGGGAGAAAGCAGACCTTTAAGTACCCAGTGGTGAAAACTAGTCAGAGGGTCAAAAATACTGATTTTACTGACCAAAATTCCAAAAAAAACCCTGACCAAATACTGACAAATTACTGAACAATTTAATGTCAGCCTACTGATAAGCTGGCGTTTTAAATGTAAAACAAGGACTTCATTAAAAATTATTATCTGGCCTTTACCATCCCCATAGCTAGCCCCATAGTTAGATGTGACTCAGATAAAAGGATTGCACACCTTTTTATTGAATGTTTTTATGAATAGAGGACAATGTTTTCATTATTGTACAAAATTTAAAGCAAAAAATATTCCCTTTTTAAAATAATCACATACTGCAGATAATAAAGCAGCAAAACATATTAAAAACCAAACATAAAGTAATAATTATGACAACAAAAATAATTA